TATGACAAAATTACCCCTGCCTTGAAACTCAATTCCTAACTGTAACTCCATCTTAACTTCAATCCATCAATTTTGACCACAAAAATTCAATTTTGAATTTTTTTTTTGTAAACTTTTTTATTTATTTACCGCCGGTTTCCGGCGTTGATTTGTTTTCCTTGTTTTTATGCAGCCAGTTTCCGGAGTTGACCGGCGTTGACATTTTTTTTCTAAAATTTTTATCTGTTTTTTTTACGTCCGCCGCTGAATGTTGACTATAATTGTATTGTCATTGACAGTAGTTGTTATGTACAATTACTGTAAAGACAAATAATATTATTGTCAACCCCAACAATTTTATTATTTTTTTGGCTTTTTTATTTTGTTTGATTTGTTGACCAGTCAACGTAATAATATTACTATTGTTGGTTGGAAAATTATTGTAAACACAGAATATCACAGTCAACCACATCAATATTATTATCTTTTAACATTTTTATTTTGTTTGATTTGTTAACCGATTAACGTAATAATATTACTTTCTACTATAGTAATATTACTGTAAACACAATAATATTACTAAGTTTGATGGTAATATTACTCTCTTTATAGTACTATTATTGTCAACCACACAAATGTTAATTCTTTTGTTTTTTTTTTATTATGTTTGTCTTTGTTGAATGGTGAACATATTAATATTACTATATTACACAATAACAGTGATTTTTGTTGTGTGAATAATATTGTGCTAAAGAATAAAATAGTAATATTACTGTGTTAAATAGTAATATAGTTAATATAGTCAACCACAATAATATTACTTTTTAAACGGACAAAAAATGTTGAAGAAAAAAAAAATCAAAATTTACAAAAAAAAAGAAAAAGAAAAAGAAAAGGAAAAAGAAACCCAATCCCTCTGGAGACCAGCATTGACCGCCAGTCAGCACCGGTAAAAAAAAATTAAACAAGTCAATGCCGAAAACTAGCGAAAAAAAAAACGCGAAAGAAAAAAAAATTAACACCGAAGAACGATGGCGACGGAAGAAATTGTAATAAAAAATTGAATAATCGGTGAAATTTGAGGTCAAATTGAGGTTAAATTGAATTTAAGAATGAAATTGGAGCATATAAAATCTGATGGAGCATTTTAGTCTTTTACGCACATCTGGATATTGTCTTGGTTTTTTATGTTTTTGTGTCAGGACCCCGTTATAAATAAATAATCAATGATAGACTTATTTGTAATAGGCCCTTAGAAGAATTAGAAAAATAAAGTGACGTTTGTTTGTTTTTTTAGTAAAGATAACTTGTTTTACTGTAACGGTCAAAAATCTTTTAACTGCAGCAGTCAAATAATGACGGAATGATAACAAAACTTTTGAAATTATTGCAGGAATTATTTTTGGAAAACTAAACAAAGGATAATTTGTTGGGCATATTACAAATAAGCCCATCAGTGGGAACTCATTCATAAAGAGATCCAGACAATATTTTCCTTTACCAATAAGTCCACACATGGTCCAGATTTATGTAAAGGACTAAAATATCCCCTCTTACTTTAATATGCTCCAATTTCATCATTAACTTAATTTAACTTCAATTTGACCCCAAATTTCACAAATTATTCAATTTTGACCCAAAACTTTTTTTTTTCACAAAATTTTTTTTTTCAAAAACTTTTTTTTCCCGCCGGATTCCGGCGTTGACTTTTTTCTTTTCTTTTTTTTTTTTCTTCCGGATTTTTTTTCCGGATTCCGGCGTTGACTTTTTAAAATTTTTTTTTTATTTCCGGATTCCGGCGTTGACCGGCGGTCAACACCGGTCTCCGGCGTTGACTTTTTTTTTTTTTTTTCTGTAACTTTTTTTTCCGTATAAACAACAATATTGCTGTGAATGACAGTAATATTAACTATATTACTGTTAAACACAGTAAAATTAACTAAACTATAGTTTAACACAGTGATATTGCTATATTAATCTCTAGCACATTAATATTAACACAACAAAATTCATTATTATTGTATAATAAAGTAATATTACTATGTTGTCCGTTCAACAAATGTAAACAAAATAAAAAAAACCAAAAGAATTAATATTACTGTGAGTGACAGTAATATTACTATAGTAACAGTAATATTACTATAGCAACAGTAATATTACAATAGTAGACAGTAATATTGTTATGTTACTCCGTGAATAACTCAAACAAACAAAAAATCTAAACAAAATAATAATATTGATGTGGTTGACAGGAATATTACTATAACAACAGGAATATTACCGTCAACCACAGTAATATTATTGTGTTTACAGTAATATTACAATAATAGGCAGTAATATTAATACGTTACTCCGTGAATAACTCAAACAAAACAAACACCCCAAAAATATAGTAATATTGATGTTGTTGACAGTAATATTATTGTGTTTACAGTTATTTTACTGTCAACGACAGTAATATAATTACGTTGACTTGTCAACAAATCAAACAAAATAAAAAATAATAATAATAAATAAAAAATATAATATTGCATTAATTTACTGTCAACGGCAGCACAATTACATAAATGTAATGTCAACAGCAGTACAATTACGTTAATTAACTTTCATTGACAGTACAATTACGTTAATTTACTGTCAGTGACAGCACAATTACGGTCAACGTTTAGCGGCGGACGTGGAAAAACAAAACAAACCAAACAAAAAAAAAATTAAAAAAACACTAAAAAAAGAGACCGCCGGAAACCGGCGAAAAAATCTGGAAGAAAAGAAAAGGAAAAAAAAAAAAGTCAACGCTGGAAACCGGCGAAAAAATCCGAAAAAAAAAAATTTAAAAAAGTCAACGCCGGAATCCGGCGGCAAAAAAAAAGTTTTTGAAAAAAAAAATTTTTTGAAAAAAAAAAGTTTTGGGTCAAAATTTAATAATTTGTGAAATTTGGGGTCAAATTGAGATTAAATTAAGTTAAGGATGAAATTGGAGCATATAAATTATACTCCAAAAAAAAGTCAAAATTGAATTTTTGTGGTCAAAATTGAACTTTTATGGGCAAAATTGATAAATTGGGGTTACAATTAAGAATTGGGTATAAATGGTTGAGGGTAATATTGGGATATACATGAATGTTTCCTTTAGTTATAATAAATATTAAAGGGATGAGCTTAGTGGTGAAAGAGATATGTCCCCTAAACCTAGAATAATAAACATGCTTGGTTGGGGACTTTTGCATAAAAATCCCTAATTTGTTTTCGAGAAAAATACTAAAAAAAAAAATGGAAACCAATCAAACATTGCTCTAAAAATTTCTCAAGAAAATGAATAAAATTGCACCGATACAAACCCTTTTTAAATTGGGGATCACTATTTCAAATACTAACTTTTGCTTACTTGAATACCAAAAAAATAAAAAATAAATAATTAATTGTAAATTACTTTAATGCCCTTAATGAAAATTAAAACCAAAAAAATATTATAAATACTATTTTTCTTTCTTAAATACCAAATAATCAAAAACCTAAAAAAAACATTTATCTCCTCACTCACAAACCCCTCACCTCCTCCACCTCCTTCTTCTCCCTCCCCAAAAACCCTCCTAAAAAACCTCAAAACAAAAGAAATCAAAACCTTACACAACATGCAAAATGGCGTCAAATGACAATAGAATGGTAGTTTACGAGCAAGGAGAACCCATTCAAGTATATATTCATGTATTTTTTGAGCTAAAACATCGATTTTGAATTTTTTTTTTTTTAAACTCGCCATGTATTTTCGACACATACAGGTCGAAAATACCCTTATTTTTGGACATGTATGTGTCGAAAACATAACAATTCATATTTTATTAAGTTTCGACACCTAAGTGTCGAATTTTGATACAATTTTCGACACCTAAGTGTCGAAAATTACCCATATTTTCGACACTTAAGTGTCGAAAAAAAAAAAAAAAAAAATTTACACAGATCTAATTCGACAGGTAGTTGGTTGAATATTCGACAGCTAGCTGTCGAAAACTCATCCAAATTTCGACAGCTATCTGTCGAATTATCAAAAATTCCATTTCAAGCTTTCACATTTTTCGACAACTATATGTCGATTTGGGATGAATTTTCGACATCAAGCTGTCGAAAATTCATCAAAAATCGACATATACAGGTCGAAAATTGTGAACGAAGAACCAACCCACGAATCTCAAATCAATGCTCAAATCGACTGAAATTAGATGCACCCATTACTAATTAACGATCATTTCTACCTAAAACAATCAAATCCTAATTACCCATATCAAACAATCAAATCCTAAGTAAATATTAAAGAAAAAAAATTCGAAAAAAATTATTACTTGGATGAATGAAACCGGAACGAAGAAGCGGCGGCGGGTTGATAACAATGGACGAAGAAGCGGCGGCGGCGTACGGTGGCGTTCGGCGGCGGCGGCGGCGGCGGCGAGGGTTGGAGGTTTTTTTTTTTACAACAAAGGGATTTTTTTCTTTTTTTTTATTTGGTTTTTGATTAGGTAATTTCTAATAAAATTTGATATAATTGATATTTTGTATGAAATGGTGTTTTTGTAATTTTCTTTTTATTTTGGTTTTAAAGTAAGAAAAAACTGATAAATATGTACTCAATTTTGATTTTAAACTTGGTAGTATTCAAGTAAGCAAAAGTTAGTATTTGAAATAGTTGCCCCCTTTTAAATTTTGCAAGATGACATCAATTGACTCTATCCATATAGTTCTTATCAATTGGGTCCAACATATAATCTAATAAACATATTAAAAAAAAAACATATAATCTAATAAACTAAATTTAGAAGATATATATGTAATATAACATTATAAAATGGTGATGTGATAGCACTAATCAAATAAAGTTGCACATAATATAGAAAATATGCTTTCCAAATATAATGTAAAGTAAACAAGACTTCAAAAATATAAAAAAAATATAAAAAGTAACACAACCAAAATTCGATGTAGTGCATATTTATGTAATTAAAAATAAAAAAAGGACATTCAGGAAATAAATAAATAATAATTTCATTTCAATAAAAGATTACGGTTGGCACAATTTATTACCAAAGATCTGGTATACCTCATCAATCATCACTCTCTCACCAAAAAACAGAAAATTAAACCACTTCCCACAACCACCCCACCACCATCCACCGCCGCCGCGGCGCCGCCGCCGATGGAAGAGAAACCCAAAAAGAAGAGCAAAAAGCAGAAAAATCAACACCCCAACCGATCAAACAACCAAACCCGCCACCGAGTACTCATTCAAGCCTTGCTCCGATGTAAAGGGCCTCCGATTCGGCGGTCAAATCATCGTCAAATCGTTCACGATACGGCGGGCGCGGCCGCCGGAGATCCTCCGCCTCCTCTCTCTCCCGCCGGCGGCGAACAAACCCCCCACCCTGGCCTCCGCCGCCGCCTTCCTCCCGACAAACTTCACCATCCTAGCGCACCACGCGTGGCACACGCTGACACTGGGGCTGGGGACGAAGAAATCGAAGGTGGTGGTGTTCGTGTTCGAGTCGGAGGGTATGAAGGCGGCGGTGGAGCGGTCGTGGCCGGCGGAGATACCGCTGGGGGAGGTGAACAAGAAGCTGATAAGGGGGCTGACCGGTTGCGAAATGGCCCGGTTCAAGTTCCGGAAAGGGTGCATCACTTTCTATGTCTATGCCGTCAGGAGAACCGGGAATCCCGGATTCCCTTGCGCCGACGATCTCCGTACTATTTTGCAGGCGGTGGTGGCGCTCAAGGATTTCATCGACCATACGGCGATGCTCGCCTTGCCTAATCAGAGAAGCCTCGGCTACGCGCCGCCGCTCGCCGTCGCTCATTAAAATTAGGCATGTTTTTTTTTTCTTTTTTTTTTAGGGGAACTCTTCAAACAATTGACTGAACATATTTTTTTTTTTTTTTAATTTCCATATTGTTTTTTTTTCTTGAATTGGCTGTCGGTGAGGATTAATGGTGGAATCGTTCAATTTTTTTTTATTTTTTTTTCAACTGTGTATTTTTATATTTTACATTAATTAAGAATGAATACTTGTGGGATTCGCAGATGAATTAATCATTTAATTTTCTCTGGGACTGATATATATTATTAATACATTACGTTACTTCTTCTTCATTAAGAAAATAAATCCAATTACGAATATGTTGTTTAAAAAAAAGTGAGTATTTTATTTTAATTTATCCGGAAAAGATGGGAATATCTTCTGTGGAATTTTATTTAGGAGTATATATATATTTTTTTTTAATTTCATTAAGACGATCAATCCAATTACGATTTTTTATATAAAAGAGACTTGTTTAATAATTGTTTTTTTTTTTCGGAATTCCATATGATGTGAATTATTTCAATGCATTCAAAGAATTCGGTAAACATTCGTTACCCTCAATATCTAACTGCATTAAATTCAGTAAATTATTATTCTTGAGGTAGATTCTTTTCGTAGAATAAATAGTTGATTTTAAAGAATTAGAACTGACCCACAAACTTATTTTATTAGATATATGTACATATTTAAGTTAATTATGATTTGCTAGCTGATCTGACTTGTTTTAATTAGGGGTGGTAAACGAGCCGAGCCGGCTCGCGAACTCAACGAGTCGGCTCGAAAAAAGCTCGAACTCGAGCTCGGGATTTTCGAGCTCGAGCTCGAGCTCACGAGCTCGAGCTTCGGACGAGCTCG